TCACACCATCGTGATTATCTGGGTCATGAAGATCTTTTTTGTACAGTTCTTCTGTGTATTCTTGCCATCTCTTCTTAATATCTTCTGCTTCTGTTAGGTCCCTACCATTTCTGTCCTTTATTGTGCCCATCTTTGCATGAAATGTTAGGAAGTGTTATAAATTCATTCTTTACATGTAGCTCTCCAGTTTTCCCAGAACCATTTATTGAAGAAGCTCTCTTTGCCCTATTGTATATTCTTGCCCCCTTTGTCAAAAACAAGGTACCCATAGGTACATGGGTTTATTTCTGGGCTTCCTATCTTGTTCCATTGGTCTATATTTCTGTTTCTGTGCCAGTACCATACTATCTTGATGACTGTAGCTTTGTAGTATAGTCTGAAGTCAGAAAGGTTGATTCCTCCAGCTCCATTCTTCTTTCTCAAGACTGCTTTGCTATTCAGGGTCTTTTGTGTTTCATATGAATTGTGACATTTTTTGATCTAATTCTGTGAAAAATGCCATTGGTAATTTGATAGGGATCACATTGAATCTGTAGATTGCATTTGGTAGTATAGTCATTTTCATAATGTTGATTCTTCCTACCCAGGTACGTGGACTATCTCCCCATCTGTTTATGTCATCTTTGATTTCTTTCATTAGTGTCTTATAATTTTCTGTGTACAGTTCTTTTGTCTCCTTAGGAAAGTTTATTCCTAGATATTTAATTCTTTTTGTTGCAGTGGTGAATGAGATTGATTCCTTAATTTCTCTTTCTGATTTTTCATTGTTAGTATATAGAAATGCAAGTGATTTCTGTGTATTGATTTTGTATCCTGCAACTTAAGCAACAAATGTTTATTGAACATCTATGTGCAAAACCCTCAGTACAAAGATAAGAAAAAATAAAATTCTGCCTTCAAGAAGCTCACATCCTAGGTGAGATAAGCTGTGGATTGTTAAATACTAATGTGAAAAATGATGCTTTCTTTGGGAGAGAACCCAAGCAAATGGTAAGTGAACGGGCCAGACCAAGTGTAATAGGACTTCAGAGAAAAGATCATTTTGTCTAAAATAATATGTAAGTAAAAGATGAGGCATATGAATCAAGCAGAATATGACACAGTTGAAGGAGGAACCATCAGGACATAAAAATGGGAAATATCCAGAGGTATGGTGTACATCCAGTTTAAACTAGAGAAGTTCAAAAAAAGGTTAGAAAGATGAATTAAGGCAGCTTACAATAAGCTTCAGTGTCTTTTATTCCTGTAAGTGAAAGTCAGCTGAATCTATGGGAGAAGAAAAGCAGCAACTGGATACCAGAGCAAATAGAAAACACAGACAAAAGACATTGTAGCCAGAGTTTACCTGTAAGAATGAGGCTCAGGAAAGTTAAATAACTTGCCCAAGGTCACACAGCTAGACAATGGTAGTCTGACCTTAAGCCTAAGGCAGTCTGGCAGCAAAGTCCCACTATTTAAACATCATGATACAAGAGAGATGAATAAATATATTCACACAAAAACTTGTACATGAATATTCATAGCAGCATTATATGGTATATAATATATATATATATATATAGTATGATTCCATTCATGTGAAATTTTTAGAATAGGCAATTTCATAAAACAAGAAAATAGATTAGTGTTTGCCTAGGGCTGCAGAAATTAGGGAACAGGAGTAAGTGCTAATGGGTATGAAGTAGTTCAGGGTTTTTTGTGGGGGAAGGAGATGATGCCAATGTCCCAAATTTAGACTTTGTTGATGATTGCTTGGTTGGTGGTGTTATCTTTAATATAATCATATAAACTGTAAAATTTAGATGAGTAAATTCTATGGTATGTAGCAATGTATACCATTGCTGGTATCACAATGATACCTAGCGACCATGCTGCTAAGTTGCTTCAGTCGTGTCCGACTCTCTGTGACCCCAGAGATGGCTGCCCACCAGGCTCTGCCGTCCCTGGGATTCTCCAGGCAAGAACACTGGAGTGGGTTACCATTTCCTTCTCCAATGCATGAAAGTGAAGTCGCTCAAATATAATATATATATATATATATAGTATGATTCCATTCATGTGAAATTTTTAGAATAGGCAATTTCATAAAACAAGAAGATAGATTAGTGTTTGCCTAGGGCTGCAGAAATAGTGCTAATGGGTATGAAGTAGTTCAGGGTTTTTGTGGGGGAAGGAGATGATGCCAATGTCCCAAATTTAGACTTTGTTGATGATTGCATGGTTGGTGGTGTTATCTTTAATATAATCATATAAACTGTAAAATTTAGATGAGTAAATTCTATGGTATGTGAATTACATCTCAAAAAAGTAGAAAAAAATGTTTAAGCATCTAAGAGGACTACATTTTGGTATGTAGCAATGTATACCATTGCTGGTATCACAATGATACCTAGCGACCATGCTGCTAAGTCGCTTCAGTTGTGTCCGACTCTCTGTGACCCCAGAGATGGCTGCCCACCAGGCTCTGCCGTCCTTGGGATTCTCCAGACAAGAACACTGGAGTGGGTCACCATTTCCTTCTCCAATGCATGAAAGTGAAGTCGCTCAGTCGTGTCTGACTCTTCGCAACCCCATGGACTGCAGCCTACCAGGCTCCTTTGTCCATGGGATTTTCTAGGCAAGAGTACTGAAGTGGGTTGCCATTGCCTTCTCCATCAGCAGCCATGGAGAAACGTGAAACAGAGCTTGTGCAAGCGGTCAGCTCTGTGAACGGGACAAGTCCCATGAGAAACATGATATAGAAACCAGGGACAGCTTGTTCTACTACCAGGGAGCTGATAGGTCTGCGAGCAATTTACAATCTGCCGATTCCAACCCTATGCCAAGTTAGACGGTTGGCTTTCTAGCTGGCCCAAACACGTTCACATCAGTTAATAAGGAGGTACTAAATTTGTTGTGTTTTGCTTTTTGTTCTGCAGTTTTTGAAGAGCCAGAAGATCCAAGCAACAGGTCATTTTTCTCTGAAATTATCTCTTCAATTTCGGATGTGAAGTTCAGCCACAGTGGGAGGTATATCATGACCAGAGACTATCTGACCGTCAAAGTCTGGGATCTCAACATGGAAAACCGCCCCATCGAGACTTACCAGGTACAGACCCCCACCCACCCACACGTACACTGGGCACTTGAGGGTTCCAAGGCAGGTCAGTGTAAGTTTGGATAGATCTAACCTAAAGGAAAGGTCAGGAACTACCCTGAGGCCCTAGGGATTACAGGCTGGGAAGAGGAAATGGATCTGGCATAAGAAGTTGGAGAAAAGTGCTGGTGAAATGGGTCAGAAACTGAGAGGTGTCCTGGAAGCCAGCTGGAGAAACTGTCTCAAGGAGGATGTCACCGACTGCTGAACGGTGTTGTTGAATCAAGAGAGGACTGAGAAAGGGCCACTGGATTTAGTGACGTGGAAATTATCAGGTACCTTAATGACAGAGGTGAAGTGGTAGGAATAAATGTCTGATTGGAGTGGGTTCAAGAGAGATCATAAATGGAGATTGTGAATGTAGTGAAATTTGGAGAGAGATTTTGTTTTGAAGAGGAACAGAGAAATAGGGTAGTAGCTGGAAGAGGATGCAGGATTGAGGAAGGCATCATAGCTTGTTTTAGGGTGATAGAAGCCAGTAAAGAGTGGGCTAACTGAAGCAGTCAGCTTCTCAAGGGAACATACTCCATTGCAGAATTAGATATAGATGAGATGGACAATTCATCCATCAAAAGAAAGAGAAAAGTAAAAACAGCTACAGATGCAGATTTGTAATGGGAACATATAGATGGTTTCTGCTTCTATTTTCCAGTCAAATAAGAAGCAAGATCATTAGCTGAGTGAGAAGGGAAAGTATAAAATATTCCTCTAAAAGGGCAAATTGACTAGGGCACTATGGTAGGGTTGCGAAGGGATCCACTTATTTATATATTTTAAGTAAGACAAATCTGGTGATTATATCTTTCTTCCCAGCCACATGAGCCTGCTTGGTACAGGTAAGGAAGGGCAGAAAGATTTACCAGTTTTACCAAGTAACTACAAGGGATGAAGGGAAAAGGGCAAGTTTGTTGAAGGTATTGATTAAAGGAGTGATGGGAATGAGGGGCCACTGAGTCTAAGGTAGGTAAGGAAGGAAATGAAGAACTGATAGAATCAAGACACTAAAGGACTTGAATTAAAATCTTAGGAGGCAGCAATAGAGTGATATTTATAAGACAAGCACAGTTACAGTGATGACAAGGCTCATAATATGACCACGAAAGCAAATGACAAAACTCACTGAAAATAATGAGGCTAAGTGAGAGTCCAGAGTGTTTGAATTCCTAAGAATGATGGCAGGAATGGTGATGGAAGAGAAATCGAGGGTCTAGAGTGGCTTCCAAGCATGAGGCAGAGGGACTATTGATGACTATAAGAAGGATGGGGAGCAGGAAGTAGTGTTTAATGGCATGAATGATGGTCCAGAGGAACACAGAGACCACTCACCTTGGCACATGAAGGCAGAAGTCCAGCTGCCACATGAGAGGCTGAGGACTTTGATGACTGACTGTGATGCTGTAAAAGGTTTGGGGGCTAGAATTGCAGATGAGGTGGAGGTAGTCTGGTTAACCCCTGTGGTTCACATAGCATCCCCTGTGTGCTTGCAGTCTTACTCTCCCCTAACCCTTGCCCTCAGGCTCCTGCTAATGCTCCTGCTAACAGCCCAACCATTTGGTGTTAAGTGCAGGAGCTAGAAGCTAGGAGAGTGTTGTTGACAGAGGTGTGGCCTGCTGGAGAGCCTCAGCTAGAGAAGAGTGGATTAGGCTACACCGTGGGGGAGCAATTGGTACTTTTTATTATACCACGTTCATTACCAGGATCATAGTAAGTAAAGAATACTTGTATAGAGATAGGTTTTAAGCGTAACTAGTAAAGTAAGCATTAAAAACTGAACCATTAAAACTATGTTTTAATTATTCCTAAGTAAGCAAGTAAGCATTGGGGCTTCTCTATTAGCTCAGTTGGTAGAGAATCGCCTGCAATGCAGGAGACCCCGGTTCAATTCCTGGGTCGGGAAGATCCACTGGAGAAGGGAAAGGCTACTCACTCCAGTATTCTGGCCTGGAGAATTCCACTGGACTGTATAGTCCATGGGGTCGCAAAGAGTCTGACACGACTGAGCGACTTTCACTTCCAAGTAAGCATTACCCTGGAGATGAGCTTGCCTTTCTCAATGGGTCTGAAACTGATTTTTCTTCAAAAATGAAAGCTTCATTTTTGTGGCTGCTTTTTCAACAGCAGATTTCTCAGCTAATCTATGGTACTTTTATTTTAGACAAAGACTTAAACTATATTTAGCGAGTGGTAGGCTTAGAAATCTTTGTAGAATACTAAGAAATAGAACCCATGTAGAGAAATTAAACAAATTTTTGCATTATTTAAGATGGTGTATTTGAAAGCAATCTAGTTAAGTTTATATACCATATCAAAGGTGATAATGAGTTTACCATTTCTGATATAGTGTATTAAGTGAGTGAGTGGAACATGATTAAAAGAGATTATAAGGTCAGCAGGCTCCACAAGTACATGATGTGAGAATCTCTGTGTTGGGAGACTCAGCCTAGTGTCCAAGCTCATTGGAACAGAGCGAAGAAACAATATTTGGGCATCAACTAGGATGAGTCTTAAGGTAAGGCATCCTTGTGAGTGTGCTGAGAGGGAGAAAGACTTGGCTGAGCAGGTTTCTATGATACAAGCTTCTCAGAGATGCTTCTTGTGTTTGTGCCTGTCTTACCTTTTTCTCTCCTCTGATGGTGAGAGTGGGTGTTCTCTGCCTAATGTTTCTTTATGTATGGAGCATACCTTGATAGTCTAGAATCTTCTCCTGTACATGTCCTCACCTGGAGGTAGTCAGGAGCTCCCCAAGGGTAGAGGCTGGAAGGAAAAAATAAGGGTTCAGACTAGGTTTTCCCTTTGAATCTTTCCTGACTTTTAAGGTCTGGAGAACCTCTGTGCTGGGAGACTCTATTGGTTTGTTTTTCTATTTCAGGGATTGATAAACTGTTCCTGTAAAAGGTTGTCTTTTAAGTCATAGAGTTCTTGGTGAGGTGATTTCCTGCAATAAGGGGCCCACAATTTCAAAGTGTAGATGCTTATCACTCACCTGTAGGTTTCTGCAAGACAAATGGTCAGGGGACAGGCTGAGCAGGACCTTAAATGGCACACCACTGCTCAATTTATAACCCTTAATGCTCTGCTTCCCTTTAATCCTAATTATTCAAGGCACTATTTGGTATTTCCCCTACCAAAAACAAATTTGGGGTGCTTACAGTAAAATAAAATAATATTCTAGTCCCCTCTTATAATTTTATAATTCCTTGATCATTGCAGAACTCTGAGAAGCCTGTATTATAGAAGCCTGCTTAACCAAGTGCTCAGAACACTCATGGGTATGCCTTACCTTAAAAGTGCTCTGCACAGCTGGTAGGAATGTAAACTATTACAGCCACTGTGGAGAACAGTATGGAGGTTCATTAAGAAACTAAAAAGAGTTACCATGTGACTGAACAATCCCACTCCTGGGCATATATCTGGAGAAAATCATAACTTGAAAAAATACATGCACCCCCACATAGAACTACTTACAATAGCTAAGACATAGAGGCAGCCTAAATATCCATCACCTCTTGCTGATGAATGGATAAGAAAAATGTGGTGTCTGTGTGTATATACACACACACACCATACATATATATGCACAGGAATATTACTCAGCCATTTACAGCAACATGGATGTTCCTAATATTATCATACTAAGTAAAGTAAGCCAGAGAAAGGCAAGTATCATACGTTATCACTTATATGGGGATTTAAAAAAAAATGAAATAATGTATATGCAAAATAGCAATAGTCCCACAGACGTACAAAACAAATTTATGGTTACCAAATGGGGAAAGGGGAGATAAATTTGGAGTCTGGGATTAACATAAACACACTATACTATATATATATATAAAATAGATAATCAAGAAGATCCTACTGAATAGCACAGGAAACTGTATTCAATATTATATAATAACCTATATAGGAAAAGAATCTGAAAAACAATGCATAATGTGTGTGTATAACTGAGTCACTGTGCTGTACACCTGAAACTAACACAACATTGTAAATCAACTATAATATATAGTCAAAATTAAATTTTAAAAAAATTGTAAGGACTGGTCTTGCGGGAAGGAACCCTGTCATCAATTACTAGCACCTCCCCTAAGCAGGGAGATACACAAGTGATAGGTCTGTCAGTTGCTCTCAAGCATGTTTCCAGGAATAAGAAGCTGTAGCCTTAAGTATGAATATAATGAACTATTTTCACATTTTCCTATAGAACAGGGGTTGACAAACTGTGGGCCAAATCCAGCCCTGCATCTGTTTTTTGAAAAGCAGTTTTATTGAAACAGCACACCTGGTCATTTACCTATTGTCTACTGTTGCCTACAGGCTACAAGGGCAGAATCAGGTCATTGTGACAGAGACTATATAGCTCACAAAGCCTAAAATATTTATTGTCTGACCCTTTACAGTAAAAGTTTGCCAACCCCTAAAATAGAAGGACAAACCAAGAGAGTCTAATCTCGCCAGCCCTAGAGTGGTCTATACAGCAGCAGGCTCCACAAGTATATGAAGTGAGAACCTTTGTGTGGGAGACAGCCTAGTGTTAAGAGGGCCATACCCAAGCTCACAGGAACAGAGCCAAAAAACAATATTTGGAACTTGAAGAGAAGCATCTAATACGGCAGGCTTTACGTTCCCTCTTACTCTGCTCTCTAGATGCTTCTTGTGTCTGAGTCTTACCTTTTCCTCTCCTCTGATGGTGAAGGATGGTGAATAGTCAATGTTCTTTGCCAAAGATTTCTTTTTATGACAGAATATACATATGCAGCATACCTTCATACTTAATGATCTTCTCCTGTAGACATCCTCACCTGGAATTAGTCGGGAGACCCCAGAATGTAGATGCTTGGAGGAAAAAATCAAGGCTCAGACTGTGCTGTTCCTTCCTTAGTCATAGAGTTCTTGGTGAGGTGGTTCCTGCAGTAACAGGCCCACACTTCCACTCACCTGTAGTGTTTCTG